CAGTGTAGTCCTCCCTGGGGATGGCCCCCCTGCCATTGGGTGTGTGCCTCCCTTTTAGCTAGGAGACATTCCTGGATGCTTTTGGTGAGCGATGGCGGCTTTTGCGCCCTCCTGCCCCCTTTGATCCTCGTTGGGATTACCTCCCTTTGGGCTTGGAGGATCGTCTCCTTAAGGAGCGACCACTCTTCTTGGACACCTGGCTCCCCTCCCCTCCGGGACCTCAGTGCTTCCCCGACTATTCTCCTTAGCTCATTGATGTCCGCCCTCCTGAAACCCAGGGCTGCTGCCTTGCTGCCGGCCTTTGCCACCTTGTGCCGGATGGTGAATCCCAGCAGGCGATGATCACTGTCGCCCAGGTGGTCGAGCACCCGCAGCCCCCGCACCAGGTCGTCCCCGTGGCCAGCACCAGGTCCAACAAGGCGTCTCCCCGGTGGGGCCATGCACCTCCTGGGTTAGGTGGACGTCCTGCATTTGGGCTAGGGACCGAGGTGAGTGGTCAGACCTGGCTGACTGCTCTCCCAGCAGATGTCTGGAAAGTTCAGGTCACCCATGATGACCACGTCCTTAATTATTATTTTTTCTATCTCAGTGATGCTGTTTCGGAGGAACACAGCTTCCACGCTGTTGCTCCTGCTCAGTGAGGATGTGAGGCACGTGGGGGGGGATGCAACTTGCCAGTTTATACCTACAGCATTCAGATAACTCAAGTTCTGTCCTTCCTTCAGCCTTGGACTGTGCCCTGCCTTAGTTTCGCCAATGCCTGGCTGAGAGAACATATAGGTGAGAACAAGCGGGGTGTATCTTGCATCAGGTGAGGCCGAGTGACCTGGGACTTCACGGCATGCCCATCACAGCCGCACAGGGCGAGGCTGGCAGTAATGGCTCGGTGCGGTCTGCTCTTCCTGTCAGGCCGGTGATTCAGAAGGATGGGTGGAGTTACGCCCTTGGGGCAGCCTTTCCCTGTTACAGAGGCTGCGAGTGCTGTTCATGCCTGGCTTGGGCTGTCGTGGAGCAGTGAGCTGTCTCTGGAGCTACCCTTTCATACCATTTGGAAATTACAGCTGGTGCAGACCGGGGCTCCCTGCTTGGGGGCATGAACTGCAGGGAGCATATTGCTCCCATCCTCTCAAGGCAGCCGGGGCTTCCTGTTTCATTCCAGGTGCACTTCAAAGCAGCAGCTATGATCTTTAAAATGCTGCGTCCTTCAGGTTTTGGTGCAAAAGTGCCTGTCTCCCCACGGCATGCGGTTGAGGTTAGCGGAGGAGCTGCTGCTAACGGGGCTTGGCGTGAGCCGAGGAGTGTTGTCAGCGGGGCCCTCACCTGTGTATTGTGCCTTGTCTGCCAGTGTCTCGTCAGGACTTGAAGACGTGGCTCATCTCCTTTCTCAGACTTTTCTTCCTATGGAGGAAGGGGGTTATTTTATTAAATGACATGGTCTTTCAGTGACTTTAGGAGACCACTGCAGATCTTGGCATCTGAAGCACATCAGTGCACCTCAGCTGGGCCCTGGGGAGATGGGGCCATTTTGAGAATCACAGAAAATGAGGCTGGAAGGGAGCTCAGGAGGTCGCATCTAGTCCAACCCCTGCTCCAAGCAGGACTAGCCCCAACTACATCATCCCGGACAAGGCTTTGTCTACGTGGGTCTTAAACACCTCCAAGGATGGAGAGTCCACAGCCCCTCTCGGTAACCTGTTGCAGTGCTTTACTACCCTGCTGGTGAGAGGTTTTTTTCATAATATCCAACCTCAACTTCCCTTGCTGCAGCCTGAGCCCATTGCTCCTTGTCCTGTATCTGCCCCCACTGAGGACAGCCCAGCTCCATCCTCTTTGCAGCCCCCTGGCAGGGAGCTGAAGGCTGCTATTCAATCCCCCTTGGTCTTCTCTTCTCCAGACTCAATACAATTCACTGTTTTGTATCCCTTTATCACATTCCCATGTGCTTCATCTCCAACACCTGCCAAACAAATGGGAGAAAAATCTTTCTTTGCTACAGATTCAAAATCCTGCCCTCTACCCTTAGATTTGGGAAATGCTGCCCTAATTTTGGAAAGCTAAGCCTCACCCCAGGAAAAGTTAAACCCTCACTCAATGTGTCCACATGCAGAGCCTCACAATTTGAACCTTCCTCTC